GTTGTTTTCTTGCCGTGTTTCCTGAACTGCACGATGATTGTGTTGACTGTCGAAAGCGGGATTCCTAAATTTTGCGAAATTTGCCGCTGACTTAATCCACCATCTGCTTGACCAACTATCCTTCTTCTAACAAAATCTGACAATTCGAAAGAACCTTGAGTTCTAGGCATGTTGTAGCACAAGGTAATTAGTGTGCAGACCATTTTCATTTATATAGTGCTCTGTGAACACAAATTAGTTAGCATAAATCAGTTAAGTGACGAAAAATTAGGTGTCTATTTACTTATGACCACTCAGTGTATATATAAGTATAGTATAACATACAATTTTCATTTTATATTGCTTCTGTTGTTTCAGATCAAGCCAACGGCAGAGTTCCGCACTGTTGAAGCTGAAGGAAAAGAATTATACTGAGAAACGACAATTTGTGAACACTTGTGGCTATTCAGGTTTTCTTGCAGGTGCATACCCTTAACGAACTGAATTAAATACCGTTTGTAAATCTTGTTGCATTCCTTCCCCCATTATATAGTATGTAAATACAAAATTTCTTGATAAATATTTTGTGCTTTATTTTCTGAGACATAACCCGCTGTTTATAATGATAAATACAACACCAATAATTTCAGAGCAAAAAAAGATGTAAGAAAATTGTATACATCGCGGAACAACTTGTGGCTAACAATCAGATAACTTTTTATAAATCGAATTCAGAGCTTTGCATGATGAAAAGATTATGTGAGGAAAGTTATTTAAAGCAAGAACTAAATAGTATTTAAATAATTCTCATTATTATAATTGATTATTGTAAAGTGCAACACGATTTTACATACTTCACCACATAAAGATAAAGGAAGAGACTGTTACACAAGTAACATCACTCAAAAAAGACAAACAGATAATGTAATCATAGATGGACACATTGTTTTGCTTGACATTTGTTCTCAGAATATAATGAGATCTTACGCTCTACAAAAAATAAGCACAAATAAATAAAATCAGAAGAAACTTACAAGAGTTACCACTAAGCCTAATGCTGCAATACACAAAAAAATTACTCATGTTTCTATTTTGTTTTCCAAAGTTAATACACGGGAATCATTTCTTTCATGCAAACTCTCTTTGGTAATTAAGATTTATACAAACACTTACAATATATATATATATCAACTTTTTGTTCAACAAATAGGCAAGCTATATCTCACTGCTTAGTTCAATGTTAAGAAATTTAAGCTCTTTCATAAACAAATGTACTGATGCACACTATTTAGAATGCGCCTGTCTGTAACTTTAAAAAACGAACGTCAGCTGGAACTACTTTGAGCCTGAGTCAGAGGGCATATTTATATACTTTACACAAACATTCTTCAAGGAAATGCATATTTAATAAGTTGTCTGTTTTCTTCCTCACTGTTTTTCATCACATATAGAGTAACAAACACTGTCTTCTCTGCTTAAAGTTTCAGTTTTGGTCTGACACTCTAATGGCTTATAATAGCTCAAAAAATTGGAAGATTGTTGTCTAACCAACAGAGGGCGGCCTCGGCAGCGTGGCTTGATGTCAGTTACATTTGAAGACTCCTGAGAATCAGTGGATAGAGAGGATGTGAGGGTACTGTCACTAGATTGCTGAAGGAGATAACGGTGCTGAAGGATAGGTTTTCGTCTTCCTCCTTTATAGAATTTGGATGTACCTTGAATGGGGTTCGTGGGATCCTGTTCATCTTGCTCGAAGGAATGTGCCCGTAGCAATGGCGGCCTAGCACGTGGCTTAACTGGGATGTCAATTTCATTCATATGAAGAAAAGTTGCAGTGCTTTCTCGAGAGTTCTTCTGCTTGCTAAACATTGTTCCATAGAGACTCAAGTTGTCATCGACGCTGTCCACAGACGTGCCTACATTGTCTGTGGTGTCACTACTTGTTGAGTCCCGATGGTAACAATGCAGCTGAAAAACGATGAAGCGCTCGGGTGAGGGAGGAATGGGGACGTAGTTATAAAATCCATTGTTATGATATGGTTCACATTGAAGAGTTCCATCATTCTGAGATGTAAAAGGATTGACCGAACGTGTGTTTGACTCCGATGCACTGCATAATGGTTGGTCAATGCTTTGTGTTTCAAAATCTGCAATGTTCTGGATTGAGTTTTTCCGGGTCACCTCCTGTGGAATCTCTTCAAGGTCTTCTTCATTTCCCAATGGTCGTAGATGAGGAACTACATTGGAATGAACTTCATTTTTTTCCTGTTTAACCGTAGATAAACAGTTCTCCGTCTCTGGTCGTGCACAGTGGAGAAGTCGTTTGGCATGTTTCCTAGTGGTCTTGTTTCGAAATACGTAAATATAGGGGTTGATGACACAAGCACTGAAAGACAAAAGAACTGTAGCAAGAGGAATGAATTCGGGTATCCAGTTTTCAATCTGCATGTATGGTTCAGCTCCAATAACGACAAAGTATGGTCCCCAACAAAAAATGAAAGAAAACAAAACAATGACTCCGGTTCTCACTGCTTTCCACTCATCTCCAAAGAAAAAGAATTGACTGGAACTAGACATTCTACGATACGGCTTCTTTTTTAGCTGGTGAACTGTACAACTGCCTTGACTATCCAAAAACTGCACTTCTGCCACAGTAGGAGTGTTGACACTATGTTTCCGTGCTCGAGCGCTACTAGTTCTAGCAGCAAGAAACATGGAGCAATAGGTCCAGCTGAGCTTCACCAGAGGCATGACTAATCCGGCCATCACAATAAGTCCTGAATATACAAAAGTATAGGAATCTCTCTGGAACCAAACAGGAACGCATGCATTCCAGTTTATCCGAAACCGAATTTTCGGAATTCCAAAGATTAAAGGCGTTGACATGAGAAATGCAAGGATCCACGTGAATATTATGAGAACACCCGTTTTCCTTTTTGTTATTGTCATAGAATAATGTAGAGGGCTGTTCACAGCATAATTTCTGTCCACGGCGATCAATACTAATGAAAACGATGTCTCTAAGTTAAGACAGGTTGAGACTATTCCACTAATGTGACACCAGGTGTCACCTAATGTCCACACTCCAAATATACCGGCCAACAAGAAACCAGGCATGATCAACAAAGTTTGCAGTAAGTGTGTTAAAGATAGGTTTAAAACAAATCGGTTCGAGAAAGTGCGGAGCAGGGGCTTCTTATAAAAGAGCAAGAAAACTATTCCATTACTGACGACACTGAATAGAAATAATAAAACTAACGTAATTGTTTGAAGTTCCTCTCTGATATCGTGGAAAGAAATGATATATTTGGAAGAGAGGTTGTTCGTAATGGTGTCAGTCTGCACTTTTGGATATGTCTTGAAAATTGGCACGGTCAAGTTAATGGATTCCTGGCCCTTGAAGACAGTCCAAGAAGTGATCCCGGGATCGTGTCTCCGGCCTCCTATTGGATTCATCCCTCAATGTAAACTTGATGTCTGAACAAAAAAGAAACATCTTTGTACTAAAAACAAAAAGTTTGACATGAAAAACTCTAACGAAGAGTTTCCCTGTAAAAAATGCTCTAAGTCTCTGATTTCTACAATTTCATTGCTTCATAGGGTCGAATATATTTTTAATAAATAGATATAAATCAGTATAATTAAAATCTTGTCATACTAAATGAATATATAAAAAGCATTGATATTTGGTGCGAAAACTTCCACATATAACAAAGACGTTTTCTTTTTTTACTAAAAGTAAAATCTATTAGTTCAAAAAGCAACATATAGAGCACAAAATGGAAAAGATAGAACTAATGAGAAAGTATTCTAGGTGAGAATCCCAATGAATTTATAAACCTAATGTGTTTCGAAACAACTTAAATAAAACATCTGGAAAATCGGTAATATTCTACAGAGTTATACCAAACTTTAGAGAAATGATTTATGTATTTCAAACTTCAGAAAAACTGTTACGTATTATTACACCCCACATTTTACAGCCTATTTCACACGTTAAAATAACTGCTTTCAATTACTCCACTCGTACTTTACAGCCTATTTCACACGTTAAAATAACTGCTTTCAATTACTCCACTCGTACTTTACAGCCTATTTCACACGTTAAAATAACTGCTTTCAATTACTCCAC